GGCTCCGGGGCCTGGCTACCGCAATGGAGCTGGGCTCCATGTCCCTCCATCGCAGCCGGGCCCCAGCTTGCACCGTCCGTCTCTGGACATGACCTCTCCTCATGTTGTTCCTGACATCCCAGTGTGCTGGGCCTGGGGCACCTGGACCTGGCCCCTTCTCCTCTGTGCCCCAAGACAGAGCAGGGGGGGCTGGGCTTTCCAGGGCATCCAGGAAGGATGGAGCTCATGCAAACTCAGCTGCGGCTCTGGGATGCTGCGGGCAGGCCCAGGGCAGGAGCATCCCTCTCCCTGGAGAAGGGCCCCACACGGGCAGCTTCCACCGCACGACCACCATCCACATCTCTCCCCTCGCCGGCCAGCGCCACGAGGCCGGGCTGTGCCCCGGCCTCCTACCTGCCGGGCTGCGAGGGCCGACACGGCGCATCGCGGGAGCCTGGAACGCATTACACGCCTGTCGCGCGGGGGAGTCTGCCCCAGTTCCGGAGCGGGGAAGCCTCGCGAGCCAGGCGAGATGAAGAGAGCGCGAGTCCCACAAAGAGCCTTTGTTCCTGCGCTGGAACGAATGGATTGGAGGCAGCTGAGGTCGTTTGTCAGTCTGCCGCGCCGGAGGCCTCGCAGGTCAGGCAGAGAGAAGGAGGCGAGGGGGACAGGTGGAGAGACAGACACACAGACAGAGCAAACACAGATAAATAACCAGAGCTGGCTCCAGGGACATCCGGGCAAGGGGTAGGATGGGCAGCCAAGTGCTGGGTCCCGTCCTGCTCCAGCCTGCCCAGAGGATGCCAGCCCAGCCATGGACCAGGGCACGGCAAGCTTCCCTCGCTCGCAGGCCCTCCCTGCTGCCTCTAGTCTCCTCCCGAGCACGAGGAAGGGGTCCCGGCTGCAGAGACAACCGTCCCCTGGCGCCCTGCCCTGGCCCCTTCCTTCCCTGAGCCGGGACTTGCTCCTCTCTGGATCCACGAGCGAGAGGCTGAGATCTGGCGCGCCCTGCGCCGGGGAGCCGGGGCCGGCTCGGGCACATCCGGGTTCTGTTTACAGAGGAAGATGGAAGCGGGGAAGAGCAGGTCCTGCGGGGCTCGCTGAGCAGGGAGCAGGAAACGCCGGGAGGTGCCTGCATTGGGCAGGGGGCTGGAGACTGCCCGGGGGCACTGCACCCTGCTCCCCGAGTGACAGCCCCAGCCATAAGACGCATCAGCCTCAGAGGTTCGTGGTTGTTTTGGACAGCTTTCCCTGCTCCCTGCCTCAGTTTTCCCTAGCTGTGAAATGGGCCAGGTGCATTTGCAGGGGGGAATGAAGCTGGGAGCTCCGGGGGTCTGGGGTGAAACCGATTGCCCTGCAGTGCCGGGTGTGGTGCCGTGGCGGGGAGGTGGGCAGCTTGCAGGATGCCTTTGAAAGCTGCCCCCTTTGCAGGCATCCCTGGAGATGCCACCTCCTTCCCTCCCTTCCCCAGCAAGAGGAAACTTTTTAGCACGCCACGATTCTTCAGCCAGCTTCACGGCCCCTGTGGGAGCAGCTGCCAGGGCTACGCGGCCGGTTCCTGCGGGCGGGGGCCGCTTTGATGCGATGCCGGTGGCCGGCACGCTGACACTCGGCTCCTTCCCTTGCAGATGCACAAGGGCTCGGCAGCCCCCACCCGGCCCCAGCCCCTTCTCTTCCCTTCCCTTCCTCTCCGCGGGCTGTGGCGGAAATGGCTCACAAGCAATCTGCTGCTTGCAGCTGGCGGGGGCTCGCTCAGGAGCTGGGCACCCGGCCTTGCTGCTGGCAGGAAGGGCCACGAGGCAGACGGCATGGCCAGGTAGGGGGGTCTCAGGCCCTTCTCCGCCGCACAGTGCAGCGCACACTCGGTTTAGGACAGGTGGAGGCAGACAGACGGACCACGCTCTCTCCCCGGCAGTCCCACATAACTGAGGCATTGCCCAGCGCAACGCTCGGGTTGTCTCAGGTCTCCGGCCAGGACCCTGGGCAGGGAGGAGCGTGGCCGATGGCAGGAGCAGGGCGTTGGGACACATGGTGCTGGTCTTGCTGTTGACTCACGGTGTGAGTGCGGGTGAGCCACTGAGCCACTGGCCTGGTAATGAAGCTTCTGGGATGGGCCTGAGTGGCTTCCTGCCCTTGCATAGGAGCCTGGCAGGAGCCCAGGGCCCCTGGGTCACCCAGGCATGACTGCACCTGCAGAAGGGGCCCCCACTGCTGCATTTCGGAGCAGCAGAAGGAAACCACCGGCCGGCAGAAGCCCCTGATGGTTTGCTGGAGAGAAGAAGGTGAAGCCTTCCAGAGATGCACCAGAGTGCAGCTGCATTGAGCTTGTCCCGGGGGTGCAACAGGTTGTAGAGGGGAAGCAACACCCAGCCTCGGACCTGCTCCTTAGGGAGCTCGGGACAGTGCTTCAGATGGCAGAGACAGGAGCACGAACGGGGCTGGAGGATCCCCGAGGGCACTGGGTGCCACAGGTGATCCACTGCTCTGAAGGGGCGTGAGGAAACCAATCCCTTCCACCCCCAACCCCAGAAGGACAGATCCGGCTCTGGACAGACAGACGGCCCCAAGCAGGATGAGGATGCCACCTGCTGGCTGCTCCCCACCGGCCTGCACCTCTCCGGACACGGACACGCATGCACGGCCCCGTGTCCTGCACCTCTCCGGACATGGCCACGCATGCACGGCCCCATGTCCTGCACCTCTCTGGACATGGCCACTTGTGCATGGCCCTGTTTCCTGCACCTCTCCGGACACGTCCACGCATGCACGGCCCTGTGTCCTGCACGTCTCCGGACATGGCCACTTGTGCATGGCCCTGTTTCCTGCACCTCTCCGGACACGTCCACGCATGCACGGCCCCGTGTCCTGCACCTCTCCGGACACGTCCACGCATGCACGGCCCTGTGTCCTGCACGTCTCCGGACATGGCCACTTGTGCATGGCCCTGTTTCCTGCACCTGTCCGGACACGGCCACACATGCACGGCCCCGTGTCCTGCACCTCTCCGGACACGTCCACGCATGCACGGCCCCGTGTCCTGTACGTCTCCGGACATGGCCACTTGTGCATGGCCCTGTGTCCTGCACCTCTCCAGACATGGCCACACATGCACTGCCCTGTGTCCTGCACCTCTCCGGACACGGCCACATGTGCACAGCCCCATGTGCCCCTCTGGTGTGGGCACCCACACCTGGCTTTGCACCTCCTTCTTTCTGGACACTGCTGCAGAGTTGCAGGTGGCTGGCATGTGCCTGCTGCTGTATGTGCAAGGCTGCACACTTACACACGTTCCCTGCACACTGCACACACAACCGCCCTTTGGCACACAGTACCCAGACTGGCTTTATTATACAAACACACAAAGCACTGGCTTTAAAAAGCATCACCCCTCTCCCCTGCCCGTTATGGACTGCCTGGTCCCCGGAGGCTGCCCTTCGGACCTGCCAGGCTTTGCATGCTGGGGCTGAAGGCTCCTTCCTTCGTGGGGGCCGAGCAGGGCGCTCTCCTTGTGGCCTCAGCCAGGCAGGCGGGGGGCACAGGGCATCGCCAGGGCTGGTGGCGCATGGCAGGTCCGGCTGTCAGCGCCCGCGGCAGGGGAGGTCCAAGGGCCCTACTGCAGCTCGGGGGTGGAGGAGCCGAGGTAGGTGCGGAGGTCGCGGAGGGTGGAGCGGACGATTTTGGCAGGGATGGTCTCCCTGCCCAGCTGCTGGTAGGCGGCGTGGCGGTGGCAGCCCCCGAAGGAGTAGAAGTAGTCCCCGCCCTGCCTGCCTGTGATCCAGAGGACGTCGATGGGGGGCACCTTGTCGGGGTCCTCCTGGGGGGGACAGAGACCGAGGACTTGATGCAGGGGGTCACCCAGGCATCCCGCACGCCCAGCACCCGGGCAGCATCTGCCCTGCCTCCATGGGCCACCTGGAGGGGCTCGCGCCGCGCGCAGCAGCAGACCTGCTGGAGAGGCTGGAGCAGTATAACAGTGCAGCACAACCCCGGGGTCCCCAGTCCCAGGGGGCCATGCTTAGCACCCCCAGCGTGCCCCCATGCTTGGCAGTGCAGGAGGGCCAATAGCCCTTGCAGTCCTGCCCTGAGCCCTGGACAGGATCACTGTGCCCATTTCAAAGATGGGGAAAACTGAAGCAAGGAGAAGGGAAGGCCGCCCAGGACAACGGACAGCCCTTGCTGCCCCAGGCCCTGGATGGAATCACTGGGGCCATTTCACAGGTGGGGAAAGCAGAGGCAAGGAGTGGGGAAAGATGCCCAGGACAACAGGCAGCCCTTGCCATTTTGCCCTAAGCCCCACACAGGATCACTGGGGCCATTTCACTGGTGGAGAAAGCTGAGGCAGGGAGTGGGGAAAGATGCCCAGGACAACAGGTAGTCCTTGCCATCCTGCCCCAAGCCCATTTCACAGATGGGAAAAGCTGAGGGCAGAGCAGGGAAGGCCACCCAGGGCAGCCAACAGCCTTTGCCATCCTGTCCCAAGCCCTTTTCACAGATGGGGAAAGCTGAGGCAGGAAGCGGAGGAAACCACCCAAGACAGCCGACAGCCCACCCTTGCCATCCTGCCCCGAGCCCCGGGCGGGATCACCGGGCCCATTTCCCTCCCTAGGGACAGCCGAGGCACGGAGAGGGGATAGCTGCCCCGACCCCAGGTCTCCCCAGCCCCACAGTCCGCCCTGGCTTTACCTGGATGGTCCGCATCAGGCTCTGCACCTTGCCCGGGTCCAGCACGGGCGGCAGGGGCCGGATGAGGACGCTCATGGGGACGCTGTGCACCGCGGGGATGCTGGCAGAGTGGATGGGGGGGGCCCCAGGGCCCTCACCCGCCTGGCTCCCCATGCCCGCC